CCCTGCCGCCGGCTCCGGCTCCTCTTGGCTTCCCGGCAAGAAATCCCCCTTGGCTCCCTGGATGCAGCCGGAGCCGGCGGGGGAAGCGGGCCCTGGGCCAGAGAAGAAGCTGGGCCCATTGCTGCCCACGCGCTCTTCTGTGGTGATGAAGAAGGAGGTGGAGGCGGCGGGGGAACCTGGGCCGGGCGATGGGACGGAGCCGCCCGGCGAGGCGCAGGTGGGCCCCTTGCCCGGCCCAGTGGTGAGGCTGGAGGGGCTCCCATAACCCAGGGGGCTCCAGGGCGGGGAAAAAGGGGTGCCCTGTGTCCCATTGCAGGCACTGGCACAGGGGTTGGCTGCCCCATCCATGGCAGCAGGCAGCTGGCAGCAGCGGGCCCCGAGGTCACTGAAGGTCTTCCTCAGCGGGGCCGAGAGGGGCGGACGAGGGCTGATCTCCTGGGGCGTCCCCCCGCTCGTGGTCTCAGGCACAAAGCTGCAGGACAGGGACTCGGCGATGGGCGCGTGTGTGCTGGATGTGGGGCCGTTGGCGCTGCCTGCAGGGAGAGAGCCTGGTGAGCCCCATCCTGCCTCACTCACGGGGACACGGCCCTGCCCCGCGCTCTGTCCCAGCCTGTGGCCACTCTCGAGGCTGCACCTTTGCCCAGGCATAAAATACAGATCTGTTGACTGGAATGTGCCATGGACAAACCAGCGGCCATGGCAGGAGGTTCTACCCATGAGGAGACATCAGTCCCATGGCAACCGAAGTGTTGCCCTGGTCCCCATGGTTGGGACGAGGATGGGGTTCAGGAGGAGCCAGGTCAGGCATTGCTGGCTGGAACAGGGAGGGACATGGTGGCTCACAGTGCCACCTCATCACAGCACAGCCAGGATGGGGAAGGAGCCAGCAGCCGTGCTCTGAACACCCCCAGCAGACAGGGATGCTCACGGCTGTGGTGGGCTAAGGTCTGACTGAATCCAGGGGAGGAGCAGTGATAACCACTTGATGGTCTGACCACTGTCATGGGAAGAAACCTTCCTCCTACCCCGTGAAAACTGCTCTGGAGCAGCTGGTGCCGTGGATTCTCCCCCCGTCCCTACCTGCCTCCACAGACAGGCTGGCTCTGATTTCTCTACAGCTTCCATAGGGGACAGCAGGATGGAGCCCCTGAGCCACAGTGGCTGCTGTTCCCAAGGGTCCAATCCAGCCTGGAAGCACTCCAGGCACTCTCACATGCACACCCTTGGCACTGGCGTGGCCAGCTTGCCAGCCTCAGCAAAGAGCTGGCCAGGTGTGTGCCCCACAGCCATGGCACCCTGCCACAGGGTCTGGGTGACTCTGTCTCAGAACCCCGATTCAGGACAAAGGAGCTGTCCCTGATGCCATGCCAGCCCCAGGCCAGCCCAGTGTCACCAGTGTGCCCAGCACTGTGCCTTGGGAGGGCACAGAGCCAGTGCGGCGCCTGCACGTCCCCGCAGTTGGGGTGTCCCCGGGAGCCCCTCTGCGCCAGGCTGGCTGCCAGCCCCGCGATGGCTGTGCCACCATCAGGGCAGCTCTGAGGTGCCAGCCCTGCCCGGGTGCTGCCTGCGCAGTTCTTGCCGTCACCTTGGTCTCGCAGGGACGGGTTAGGGAATCCAATAATGGTCCGTCTGCGCCGCAGGGTGGACTTGGGGTTCATCGCGGTCTCTGTGTTAAACAGGGAGTGACGAGCACTCGCGTGCCTAGCAAAGTGCTGCCCTGTAGCCAAAACAAACAGCTCTGCCGGAGCCCTGCTCCATCACCCGTGTTCTCTGCGTGTCCCCAGCCTGGGATGGTGACACAGGTGGGAGCGTGGGATGCAGGAGCATGGTGTGAGCCATGTGGGGTGAGCACAGGGGAGATGAAGGCACGGTGGGAATGCTGCAGAGGGAGGTGGGGTGGATGGAAAGCTACAGAGACCAGCCCTGAGCTGTGTGACAGGCACGGGTCTGTGCTGGTGAGGCCAGACCCCACACCACTGTGCTGAGCCAGACTGGGGAGGGCTACGTGAGCCACGGAGAGGGAGAGAGACCAGTGTGGCCCTGGCACAGCTCTCCATGATGGGAAAGGGTGGAGAGAAACCTCTGTCCTTCAGAAGGGGCACCTCACCCAGCCACCAGCCCCAGCCACCGACCTGGGCCAGAGCAGGACACCTGTGTCTGCAAGGACAGGACTGTGCTGTGGGGAGATGTGGCCCCGAGAGGATGGACACACAGGGGAGACAGGCTGGGTGCACGGCCTGTGGTGAGAGCCCAGGTGACAACAGACCTGGCTGGCTGGGCATTACATCAGGGGTGTGAGATCTGCCAGCAGCACGGCCAGCGGAGCAGATGCACAAAGCTGCAGATGGCACGAGAGATGGCTGGGAGTGATGGACACCAGCATGGCCCTGCTGTCCCCTCTCTGCCCCGGTGCCCACCTAACCCCAGGAACACAGCTCGCAGACACAGCCCCCTCCCACCACCCGGCTCCTGCCCCAGATGGCTGCTGGGGCGCATCTCTGCCTGCACCCCGTGTCCCCCGCCGCTCCCTGGGCTGCTGCCCTACCTGAGACATTGATGGGGACAATGTTGGTCTCGATGGAGCCGGGCTGGTGCCACTGCTTCTCCTCCACGGGCGGCAGGGGGAAGGCCCTGGGCCAGGGGGGCTGCTTGTCCGGGCTGGTGGGGAGGCTCAGGGAGGTGTCAGGAGGCCGAGCACCGAGCACAGCGCTGCTGGTGCTCTCCTCTTCAGCCGCTCGCTGGCTCGGGGGCTACGGGGAGAAAGGCACGTCAGCCACCAAAGGGACAAGGGTGGAACACAAACAGGGACTCGCTGCCCGCCCTGCCACCCCAGAACTCACCATAAGCACAAACTCAAGGCGCTTGGCAGGTGGGGGTCGAGGTGACGGTTCAGGGGAGGTGTCGGGGGGCAGGTGACCAGCAGCACGGAAGGTCTGCCCGGTGACCCTGCTCTCGCTGTACTGCTCCTCATACTCCTCTGCAAGAAAAACAGCACCTGGGACCCTGCTCCTGCTGCCAGATGCGAGATCATGTGAAGGGATGGTGACTGTCCCCTCTGGCTGTCCCCAGCCTAGCTGGCCGTCCCTGCTCAACACAGGCAGCTCAGAAGGTGAGGGAGACCCCAAGAAGGGTCTGGGGGAACTGAGGAAGAGCAGTGATCCCAGCAGCTGGCCCCACTCCTCCTGGGGCACAGCCAGGGGACGCGCTGGGTCTCGCTGGGAAACAGCCCCACTGAGGACAGCCAGGAACTGAGCGTGTCCCCATCCTGTAATTGTTTCTAATTAATGCTGGTGGTTGCGGACTGGCGGAAAGCAGGGCTGCTCAGGCTGACTTAATGAGATTACAAGCTGGGGGATGGCTGAGCTGCTGATCTCATCTGATGCCTGAGGAGCATCTGAGCCCAGGCCGCGTGACAGCCTGGGCCAGAGATTGGAAGGAAACAAAACCACTGGCCACGTTGATCCAGTTAGGCAGATCAGTGGCAGGTCCCTGAGGCCCTCATGGGAACTGTGCTGTGGTGGGGCTTGTGGGTGCCCTGGTGGCCCCGCTGGCCTCAGTGGCCCAGCAGGCAATCCTGGTCCCAGTTGCTTTGGCACCTGCAGCATTGACTTGAGAGCAGAGATCAGTGATGGGCTGCTGGACACTGGGACCGCCAGGACCCAACTCCTGCAGCCTGCTGAGGTCCAAGGAGTGGCTCAGACATGCGTGTGGAAGACGAGCTCACAGTCCCATGGTGGCCACATAGCCCAGGCAGCACCACCCCCCCACCCCTCC